GTAACGGATTTTTGTTACATACACTAATCTCTCAATACCAATTTGAATGCTTATTGCTTTCTGTGTAAAGCACAGTTGACTGGTTCAGTTACCTTAGGATGCCTAAATTTGAGGGGGGTTTGAACAAGTTAGAAGAACTGCTACTTTCTGTATTATTGTTTGTGCTGTTATTTATGTGGGGTGTGGTGTATTTGGGAAATGACTGCAGTGCAAAGGGTAGTTTGCGGGCATTCTTTGTGCCCAGGGGAGCAATGCCTTTTTGTTAAAAGTTATGTCTGCTGTTTTTTGCTTTTAAGTGGTTGGCTGCTAATAATACTAGCAATTGAAAGGATATCTTAGATATTTCATCTTCACATTTGCATCAAAGGATCTGTGATCACCTAACTGACTGCTTAAGTTCTATGTTTGATGGTGTTTTCAACTTCTTCCCCCTTTTTTCTCAGCATACATTTATTAATTGCTCACTCCCTGCTTGCAGAGCCCTAATAAGGTCAACTTGGTTGCTAAACTGGTTCGTGGTATGCGTGTTGAAGATGCATTGTTGCAACTGCAAGTGACGGACAAGCAAGCTGTAAAAACTGTGTATCAGGTGATTGAGCCATTCTGCACTTTCTTAGTATAAGTTCAACTTTATAAAACAATTGCATAAATAAGGAGCGCAGGAACTGATTTTTGAATTGTTATGACTTGTAAGAAGGCAGGAATACTGTATATGAGAGATTCACCTTCTTGTGGTACCATCAAGTGTTTTATATATATCTTTTTGATATTTGTTTCCTGCAAGCATTAGTTACCATCATATGAATGATTCCGTATGTTGAATTTGAAATCATTTTTGGTTTTGATATTTTGTTCACAATTCTTTGATTATGCTCATCTAGAAACCACGGAATGTCAACATTATGTAATAAGGTACTGTTTTGCAGGCTCTTCACTCGGCCCGAGCAGATGCAACATATAATCATGGGTTGGATCCAGAACGTCTCCTTGTTGGTAAATAATGCAAGTCGAGTAAAGTTTCCTTTATTTATTTGTGTTCTTTTTCTTAAAAACTCAATCCTCATTATTCTGCACTCTCTCCTTATTACAGCTGGGGCATTTGTTGGAAAGGGATTCTTGGGATTCCACAAGAACAGACTTTACTACCATGGTAAAAGCAACAATGGAACAAAAGTGAGACCAAACAACTACCAATTGATGGTGACGCTGAGGGAGATTACTCCTGAAGAGGAGGGGGAGATAGCCAGACAGAGAGCTAACAATTTTCTCTATATCACTAAGCGCCTCCGGCTCACTAAGAAGGAAAATAAGTTTGTTCCTCACCAGCTTATCAGGAACCGTAAAGGCAAAGTCGGTAGTAGTCAGCCAAGTGGTATGGCTTCATGAGCAAGGTTCCTTCCCATGCTTAAACATTCTGAAAGAGTTTTGAGACACATTAGAGACCTCCTCCTTTGTCTTTTGGAGTTTAATAAAACTGTCTTGTAGAAGTGAGAAAAACCAAAGTGCCAGGGTAGGAGCAACCTTGTTTCAGTTTCTAATAGTGGCTGCGTGTGGTTTTAAATGCTTAGGTGTAGATTATCATCAAATCATTTCTACTTGGTGCATTGAGAATATAATTTTGAAATGAACTGATATTTGTTATTACTTCTTTCACCTTTGTCGTTGGCCTTTTATTTAAGCAGGGCATGGCTCTGGCACTGTAAGCACAGGTAGATTTCCAAATTGATTTTCTTAAGTGAAAAATATAATCACCCTCTAGAACGAGTTCAGTAAAAGAAAAGGCATACTAGTTAATGTTTGCATTGATGTTGTCTTGATTCTCACTTAGTAGTAGATGATTAAATGCAGAGAGCCATTTTTATCTTTCTGTTATTGGCAGTTTATTTGGAAGTTCACTCCATACTTGCTCGCTAGCGTTGTGTGTCGCTTGAAAAGGCAAGCTTAGTTGAGCAATTTCAGGTCCTCGGTTGAGCTTGAGCCTCTTTATTGAATATGTTGGCTCGATTTAGCTTGAGCCTCTAAATATGGCCAAGGATGCTTGTAATAGATGTACTTCATCCTCAGCTCCTTTTGCCACAAGTCACAGGTTTCTGTTTGGAACAAACTAGTTGGAAACTACTCCTTGGGTCCACCTTAGTACTTTTGCTGTAACATGGAGTGTTTGGGAACGTTTTCGTGTTATGTTATTTTTGTATAGTTGCTCAAGCGTCTGAGCAAATACGACAGTGAAAATGTTAGAAATGTTAACGGAACTTATACACCATTTTCAGTTTGTCACGTTAAAGAAAAATTAAAGAGAGATGCTATTTCGAGTTTTCAAAATCCTTATTTTTGTTAAAAATAATGAAAAATATAATAAATAATAAGATTTAAAAAGAACCCTTTGCATTTGATGATGTCATGAAGATTGCATCATATCATAAAACATTGTCACTTATGCAAATAATCAGTCACTAAAAGTTCTTAATCCCGAAAAGAATGTTAACTCATGTACTTGGTAGCTTTAATTTGTCAATGATGTGTATTACATACTATTTTGTACTCTCCACTAGCCACTTTGGGCGATCAAGTATTGCGATTAAAGAAACACATTCTTAAGATGGAATCTACCCACCTTGCGGAGTTATCCACTTGACTGATTTTGACCATGATTGTTACGTAGCCAATTCAATGATTTTGTGATAATCACCACTGTTTTTAAGATTCATTTATAAGCGTGGTTTTGTACAAAACGTTCTGTAATATGTATTTTTTTTTTGGGACATTGTGAGGGTTGAAGACGTTAATTGTGCTAGCGATATGCAAAGTGCATGGAAGGAATTATAATCTATACAAACCGACCAATTCAATTCAATTTTAATTGGTTTCGATGATTTAGCAGATTGGATTGGATTCCTAATTTCCAAAACCGACATGATTGGATCGGATGACAGATTTGATTGTGGGGATCCAATCAAATCGAATCCAATCTAGTTAGTTTCATGCTCATTTTGCTCATTAGGTAATTGTCATTAAGAAAGTTGTGAGCATTTAAGTAATTTGATGGAGTTATGTTTGATATTTTATAAAATCAAAATAATTTTCTCTAGCATTTTATTTATATTTTACACTTACATCTATTAAAATGTTTGATTATATTAAACTTGACGATATATGTTTCATATTTTATGAGTATTTTTTTCTAATATGAAAATCAATCATCCAATCCAATATCAATTGGATCGGACTGGATAGGCAAAATTGTATTGGTTTTAAACCGACGTATAACCCTAGATGCAATTGACTTTTAGAGATTGACGATATGTATATCATGTGTATTCTTTTGCCCATACACTACAAATAGCATTCTAAAAAATAAAAATAAAAACATTAGTTCTAGCATCAAAAGATGCGGCTCCTATTTGACTATTCTTTTTAACTTTAAATTCAATTATCAAAATCTTATCATTGCTTCTCCCAATCATCATGGTGAGTTACAATCTACTCAAGCAATTGATATTGATGAACGTGAGGTGAGTAGAGTAGATGTGTCAAATGGGTCATGATGGGCCGCACCAGCCCGTTTATAGTCCGCCCACATATTTGTTTTTTTAGAAAGAAAAAAACACATTTGTTTGATGTTTGAAAATATGTGTTTAGTTAGGTGTTTGTTTATATTAATTACTTATTTGCATTATATTTGCTTGTTATGTAAATGAACTGATTAAATTTATAAAATTTTACTTGGATGTTTGTTTTTAGAAAAATAGGTAATAGAAGTGTATAAAATTTTACCCTAATATAAGTCCTCCTAACTTCGCCCTCCAGGTACAGGTATGATTTACTTATCCTACTCATACTCTACCAAAATTACATTTGCACCTCATACTTAAACTAACTTAAGCATCAAAATCTCATAGGCCGATACCACATTGATGTCCTTGTAGCTTACCGATCGCCTTGTCTTTGGACATGAATGAAAGTTATCTTCATAGAGAAACATATGCCATTCTTTCTCATCAATTTCAACAATTTAAGGGCTTGTTTGATAACCGTTTCAGTTTTTTTTTTAAATTTTAGTTTTTAGTTTTCATAACTTGTTTGGTAACTAATTTCAGTTTTCATTAAACAAAGTTGTTTGGTAACTATTTTCAATTTTATGTGGAACTTGGAAATTAAATTTTTTTGGTCAAATTGTGAATTTGAGATCATAGAATGAAAATGCATGTTGCAAAGAGGTCATACTATATTTCGGTGAATTTTGGATTTGAAAGTCCCAAGGCTTGGACTTGGTCTGTGGTAGAACGCAAGAATCGAGTAGCCAAGTCCAAGTTAGGAGGTCCTAAATACTAAATTTTGGTAATTGGAGTGCATTTCATGTGTGGTGATGTAAAGTTATGGAATGAAAAAGGATCACAAAAAAATAAAATAAAACATAAAAACTGAAAACCGTTTCAAGTTCTTAATGATGATTTTGAAAACTAGATTTCACTTTTTTTTTAAGAAAACTGAAAATGAAATCTATTACAAAATATGTTTTCAGTTTTCAATTTTAAAAAAAAAATGAAAATGAAAAAAATGAAAAAGAAATGTTATCAAACAACTCCTAAGCAAATCCCACAAAGTGACCAAACTTTGCATGTGAGTTGTTTCTCTTCTAATAAATCCCTTCCTTTCCTAAATCAAAAGAGTAACCCATTTCTCCCGTACAATCTTCGCTGTAATGAAGTGAATAAACCTGCACTCTCCCATAAAGCGTGTATCAATCACGTGTCATCAGGTGAAGGTGCGCGCCGAGTCGGAATCTCAGATTCCGCACTAGCGTGCTTCTCACGCGCTACAAAAGACATGGAGATAAAAACGTATATAATATTCAGAAAACAAAATAAAAATGATAAAGAAAAATCTATGGATCTTGTTGTAACACTCACTCTCAAGTCTCAGGTCTCAAGTATGGTATGATAGACCCCCAAATCCCGGAATTTAAAAAAATAAAAAAAATAAATTTAAAACTCCCATAAAAATCATCACAGAGGAAAAAAAACAAAACAAAAAAAATCAGCAACAACAAAGAAACAGTACCCCATCAACCCCTTCTGAAAAGCGGAAAAGAAGAAACAAGATCCACCTCGAACCTCTCTCCTCACCTATCCATCCCCTCACCTCCCTCCCTCCCTCCCTCAACCTCACAACAATTCAATCCAATTCCAAATCCGAATCCACCCTACCAAATAGCTGTCTCTTTTTTTATTTTTTGGGGGTTTTTAAGTGGTTAATTATTCATTCTCAAATCTGAGCTGAGCTGAGCTGAGCTGTGGGATGATGAGTGTGTGAGGAGGAAATTAGGAGAGCAAAATAGTGGGAATTGGGTTGGTGGGTAAGCAGCTGAGTGTTGTAGAAGAGTTTGTAGGAGTGAGGAGGAGGAGGAGAGAGAGAGAGAGAGATCAAAAGAAAATAATAATGAGGGAAGATGAGTCCAATTGGTTCTCCAGGTGGGAAGAAGAGCTTCCTTCACCTGAGGAGCTCATGCCCTTATCCCAAACCCTAATCACTCCTGATCTTGCCTTGGCCTTTGACATCAGAAACAACAACCCCAACAACCCAAGTAGCCCCCAAAACCAACAACCCCCACAACCTCCTCAGCCACCACATACCCCTCCACCTCCTCCTCCTTCCTCCTTGCCTCCCGCCACCCCGACCCACCCCAACTCCTCCGCAGAATTCGCCGATTCTGCCGAGCTGGGTTCTGGTGCGGGCGGGGAAGAGCCCGCCCGCACGCTGAAGCGGCCCCGCCTCGTGTGGACCCCGCAGCTCCACAAGCGCTTTGTGGACGCCGTGGCACACTTGGGGATCAAGAACGCCGTCCCCAAGACCATAATGCAGCTCATGAGTGTGGACGGCCTCACCCGGGAGAATGTTGCCAGCCATTTGCAGAAGTACCGTCTCTATCTCAAGCGTATGCAGGGCTTGTCCGGCGGAGGCAGCGCCGGCGGCGGTGGTGGAGGAGGAGGATTGGCAGCCTCCGCGGACCCCGCCACTGATCATTTGTTTGCAAGCTCGCCGGTTCCGGCTCATTTCCTGCACCCGCATCCCGGGGGAAGGCCCAATTCGGAGCATTTCATGCCCTTTGTGCCGGTGGCTCTGCAGCAGCACCATCACCAGCAGCAGCAGCAGCAGCAGATGGCTGCGGCTGCGGCAGCTGCGGTGGCAGCCCATCCCCAGTATCACAGGCAGGTGGGGCATTTTGGGTCCCCACCAAATGGCCAATTTGAGCATCCATTCTTGGCAAGGCAGTCGTCACAGCCAGTTCATAGGATGGGGGCGCCACTGCATAATCCAGTGCCAGGAAGCTATGTAGAGGACTTGGAATCAGCTAATGCAACTGGTGGCAGGAAAGTTCTTACTCTGTTTCCAACTGGGGAGGATTGAATTTGGGTAATTGTCATCAGTTTTGTTTTCATCTTGCTTTTGAGTTCATTTAATTTCTGGGTCTTGTGAAATTGGTGTGTGGTTGTACTTGTTAGAGGTTTGATTCAGGATCTAAATTATTGGATTTCCTTGTTGTGTTAGTGGGTCTTAGTAACCTTGGTTGGTGGTGATTGCTAGTGGGCTTCAAATGAGATCTGTGAATTCCATTTCCAGATCCAAAATTTCAGGTTACTATGTGTTGGTGACCATCGGGGTTTGTTTCACTGTAATTTATGGAGTTGAGTAGTATTAGGGGGGCGTCTCTATGTGGCCTTTTCTCTGGAACTGCTACTTGTGTAATTATATTGCTGGTAGTAGCATATAATCTATATCTCCCCTGTCACCCTCTAGTGATGTCACTCAGAGCGACAGCAATTCAAGCCCTTCTTTGGGAAAAAATCGTAATGGTATCATGGCAATGGATTGATCCGGGTTTCTTACAAGTTCATTTCTCCATGTTATATTGACGAATCAACTGGGTTTTCATTCAACTCGGAGTCTTCTTGCTCGAGGGAGGGGGTTTTCTCATTGGTATTGCCAGTAGGGGTGGAAGAAGCGACAAACGACTAATTCTGAGCTTGCAGATGAGGATAAATAATGTTGGCAAGTGCTTTCTTATGTAAGTTCTCTGGATAGCTAAGGATGCTGTTGGTAACTGTGCTTGACATATTTGCTACTGCATTTCTTGGCTTATCAAGAAATCTCTTCTTTGTGGAGTTATGCCTTTGCATCTCTTAGTTTAGTCTCATGTAGAGGTAAGTTGTACTTGTTGTACATTTTGTGACTTTGTAGACAATTTAAACCCTGATATTAGGGGATCTGTTGAAACAATTCTGATTTTATTAGAAGGTTATCTTAATGCTACATGACCTTTGATTTTATATGGCTTTATATCTTGGTGCTCTGTTCACTTTATAGCTCATATATTCTTTCATGTTGCATCAAATAAGGGACTCAGCATTTCTTTGTTGTTTGCATATTTACTGGGATATAAGTTTTATTATGGATTGTCTCTCACTATTGAAACAACACCAATCTAAAGCATGAGGTAATGGAAGATCACTCAGTTTCAATTTATTTTTTTGGTTAAACATTTGCAAATATTTAGATGAAGGTGAAATAGAAAATTTTGGGGAAGGATTAATTGATGTGACAGCATCCTCAAAGTTGACAAAGTTGTGGGAGTCCCATTAAGTTCTTTCTTTATCCTTGTAAATTTGTAATGCAGTGACTAAAATTAGATATGATGAAAACGATAGAGAATGGTATAGTATAGACCCCCTTTTAAAGTGAAAGTTTGATGGTAATTACTAATTATGAGTAGATTTAATCCTTTGTCACATAATTGCTCAGCTTGAAATGAAAATTCAAAAACATTAAACTGTCTGGAGGGTTGTTGTAAAAATTAAAAGATGATTTTGTCCTTAAATTCTTGTAACTGCATGGTGAAAAAAATGGTCCCTGTTTTCCATATATCGAAGTATTGGAGATAGTCAGAGTTCTTGGTGTCTAAATTCGTGAAGTGAATTCCATAGTTCCTCATAGTTTAATACTATCCATATTTATCGCATCCTTCTTACATCCCCGCCATAGTTTTAACTTACCTGTCCAGCTTGCAAGGTTATATTGTAGTTAAACCTAGAATAAGAGAATCTGCATATTCTTGTTCTTACTTCCCAACCATCAGTTTTAACTTGTCCTTCTTGCAAGTGAATATTGTAGCTAACCATAGAATAAAAAGAATCTACATAATCTTGTGATTACAGCATGTTTCCTGCTGTTATTCATGTGTATCGTAATCTGGGTTGTGTGGATAGAAGGCTTCTATGAGTGCAATCTCTGGAACCCAGTTATCACAACCCTTCTTCCTGTTTATTCTGTTGCCTGAGTCTTTTTAGCTCTGAAGAGCTTCTTTCACGAGAGGGCCATCAGGAACAAAATTTGTAAGCTGATCCATTTAGGGGCTGATTGACCTTACAAGACTTTGCTTGCAGTTGACATCAGCCGTTTCTGCACAATTGAAACTCTGATTAGATCCTTAGCGCAAGGGCTAAGTAAGCAAGCTACATTCTGTAATAAAAACCGAGGAAAAATAACGTCAAATAGAAACGAACAGGGTCTGACAGCCCCATCACTTTATCTTTTCCTTTTCTTTATCTCTCCTCTCTTGAACTGAAATACAGTATATTGTAAAATGTTGGAGTGAATAATTTATCTTCTGTTATTACCAGAAGTAAAACAGATGCATAATCTCAAAAAGAAAGTCAAAAGATTGACTCTACTGAAGCCTAAGATTATGCTTGATGAAATTGCACCTGTTGAAGTTGTATGTGGTTCCAATTAAGGTAAAGTCACATTTGAAGCTATAACTACACAGGTATTTCATTGTCATGCCTTTTCTCATGTACCACACTAGTCTTCCATTTGCATGCTTTAATATGGGAACTTCACAGAACAAGCTATATATTTGAAACTTGCTTGTAGTTTTCACTAGGAGGATTATTATTTGGTTTAACAGTTTGATGATGGTAAGTTAACTGACTTTCTACTGGTTAATGTTATTCTAATGTTCGGATGCCCATAAACCGATTATATTTGAACTCAAGACCTCCGTCGAAACAAAAACAAAAACAAAAAATAGATAAATGAAATCATTCTCTGGAAATGATGCCCATTATATGGTTTTTTTTTTGTTTGCTCGATCCTGTGAAGTTTCTCAAGATTATCCAGGCATTGCTAATTCAAATATGTTCAAAGGTCCAACCTAAGCCTTGAGAGCCTTGCATTGATTTTGGGAGATTCCAACCAACGCGCATATATAATTGGATAATATTAGAGTAATATTATAGTTAAATTAAGTTGAAACAGTTTCCAAGAGAGAGCAGAAGTTTTAAGTCATTCGTGTCTTTTTGCTCGTGTTTCAAATATATAGGGGATGGAGAAGAGACGGAGAAATTGGGCACATAAAGATCTCAACACTTAATGACGGGCTAAAAAGAAGCCATTGAACTCTACAGCCTTCTTCTCTCGAGTTTCAATGGAATTTAATTTTGAAAAGTCAAAATTTGGCTTGTGAATTTTCCAGTATGTTTATCTCTAATTGTGAGCAGAATCTTGTGAATGTGGATCCATAATATTAATACTATTCATAAAAGTGAGCTAATTTCCCCACTCCCATTTTCTCCACTTACACTCCCTTTTACTTTTTAATACTTTTTAATCAATTTTGTTCTTTCTCTTTCCTATTCTATCCTTACCCTACATTAATTTCTTTTTTACTTCACTTTTATATTATTTCTTTATCTTTATACTTAATTTTCCAACTTACACTCCATTTTCAGTATTAAAAGGAAAAAAAACTTAATTTCTTACTCGATTAAAGGAAAAAAAAAAGTATCCCCTCATAAAACTCTATTATTATATGGTAATTGTTTGAGCAAAAGTCTATGGAACATTTAGGAAATGTTTGGTATTTTACTTGGATCTAATTTTATAAACTCAAAAATAGATTTTAAGTGCAAAGCCATAAAAACTTGTTTGATAGACTTATTTTTAAAAACTCAAACCCGCAAAGCCACAAAAACTTGTTTGATAGACCTATTTTTAAAAACTCAAACCCAAAAAATACTAAAAAATATCCCATTATTAAAAAAAGAAAAAGAAAGAGGTTTTATAGTTTTCTTTCTCTCCACTCTCTCTCTCTCTCTCTCTCTCTCTCTCTCTCTCCTTTTCTTTTGTTAATTTCAATTTGGGAATCTAGGATTTCTGATTTTTTTTAATTTTAATTTCAAATTTTGTAGATCTTAAAAATAGTTTGGAGTTCAATAGCAAACAAGGTTTTATATCTTAAAATCACTATTTGAAAACTCATGTTTTTAAAAAGAATTTTTTGAGTAGGATACCAAACAGGGACCTTTCCAAGTGGATAAAAATGTTAGAGAAAAAACCCCAAAGTTATAATTCATAAACGAGTCCATTTTTATATGATAATTGGATGAAATTGGTAACATAAATATATTTTTTTTGTCCACCTGTGCAGAATGATTGCAAAAGAAAAAAAGTAAAAAAATGAAAAAACTTTGAAAGACTACGCATGATTAATAAAAGGCCTCTCACGCGCGGAACTTTTATTTAATCACGCGTAGCATGCATGACTAACAAAATTATTATTATTATTAATATTAATATTATTATTATTATTATTATTATTATTTATAATTGTATTCTTTTAGAAGTATTAAGACGGACGTCTAAAAATACAATTACAAAAAAAGAAAAATAATTAAAATTAAAATTATTCATGAGGATAATATAATAAACTAATAGTTCTTTATATTTAAAGAATTAAATTTTTTTTGATAATTCACTGAAGTGTCTCTTAATTCACCCAATTTGAAAATCAAGTTGATTTGGTGTAGAAATAGTTCACTTAAATTTTCAAATTATAAACACATCAAGAAAGATTGGTTATTTAGTCCAAAGATTACACAGGTTGTGGAATGAATTCTTCTCTCTCTCTCTCTCTCTGTGAAAAATCCCTTGCAAAGAAACTTTGACATTTGCCCAACAATTTATCAATGATGATATGTTTACTAATCCGTAATCGGGTTATGAGGAATTGAATTGAGGAGGAGTTAGATTGAAGAGAATTAGATTTCGGATTCCTATTAAAGTTGTTTACTAAACTATATGGATTGAGGAGAGTTAGATTCTAGATTCTTACTGAAGTTGTTACTAAATCATATGGAATTGGGGTTAGAGTGGTGCTAATTACTAAAATGTCCTCGTTGTTTGGTTAAAATAAATGACAAATTTGGAATTTAAAAAATTATATGAGAATATAATGGGTAAAAAATATGAATTCCTAATGGATTAGATATCTAGGAATTAGAATACCACATCCACCCAATAATTGAATTTCTCTAAAATCAAGAATTCAATTTCTAATTTTGTGTGGGCCCCACTTACTTTTTAATTTCTTGATTTGAGGTAAACACATGAATCATCCATACTTGGAATTCAATTCCTAAGCGAATAAAGCTTCAAATCTCAACTGAGGACAGTAAAGCAACTTCCTCAATACCAATCCTGAACATTACACTGATGACATGGTTACTAATTCGAAATTGGATTAGGAAGAACTGAATTGAGGAGGAGTTGGATTGAGGAGAATTAGATTTCGGATTTCTATTGAAGTTGTTTACTAAATTATATGGAATTGGGGTAGGAGTGGTATTAATTACTAAATTGTCCTTGTCGTTGGGTTAAAGTAGATGGCAAATTTGGAATTTTGAAAATTGTGTGAGGATATAATAGGTAAAAAAGATGAATTCCTAATGGGTTAGTTCTCCAGGAATTAGAATACCACCTCCCATCCAAAAATTGAATTCCTCCAAAATCAGGAATTCAATTCCTAATTTTGTTTTTCGTTTTTGGTCAATAAGAACTTTCATTAACAGGAGAGCAACCCAACAAATTACAACTCAAAGAGAGGAAAAGCAGTGCCATGCGACATAAACAGAAGTTCATGCACAGCAAATAAAACTCAATAGACCCATACAAGCTGCTACAAGAAAGAGCCCCACAGTGTGGGAGTGGTTCGACAATCCAGAATCAGAGAGTCTTGGCCATCTTGAACAGCACATTCTATGTGGAGGTTGGAGGAGGGCAGGGAAGACCGTCACGATTTAAGATATGCACAAGAGAGGTGGGGGGGCCTGGATACCTAGACTTTTGGACTCGACCTCGATAGTGCTAGCGACTCAAGGTGATCTGTCGCTTCATTGTTTTTCCTATTGGTCCAAGCCCAGTTACAGTTTGAGAAATTGGAGTTGCAATCACGAATCCTTGATA